GCTATCTCCCGCAACCCCTCTTTTTTCTTTCTTTCTTTTTTCTTCAGGGTACCATTCTCAACAGTGGGATTTGGCATTCCATGTCCCTTTCACAGGCTGAGAATCTTGATATGCTAATCCTATGATGTCTCTTCTGCTGTTTCCTTTTTCTGAAGCCCATTCTTTAGTAAATTGCTGAGTAATTGACAGTGAAAATAATATTTTTTGAGTTATTTCATGCTGAAAAGTTTTCCTGTGACTTTTATAACAAAGTTTGTTGAGTTAGATTTTAGACACAATCCACAATTTATGCCTTTAATGTTATAAATAGGTCACTTCATTGTCTCCATGTGGAAGTGTATGATGATAGTAAGATTTTCTTCTCTAAAATGAACTTGGTCTTGCTGTATGATGACCAAAAGATTTTTTTTTTCCTTATAATAGAGTAGTTTGCTCAAATATGTCTCAGCTGTAGTGAGTGTCATATAGTTTCAATTTTATTTTAGTTCAGGGAAAATTTCTGAGATGTGATTATAATTTATTTAACTGAAAAAATTGTATATAATTACTGTGTACAACATATTGTTTTGAAATATATAAATGGAAGAATGATTAAATCAAGTTAATTAGTATATGCATAATCTCATCTACTTGAGATAAGATATGTGTTTAAAAAAAGCCCCTCACTCTTGCACTGAGAATACTTGAAATCTAATCTCATCAATTTTTAAGAAAGCAATTCATGATGATTAACTAGAGTTATCATGTTGCAAAGTAAATCTTTTTGAATTTTTTTATCTAACTAAAATTTTGAATTATATTTTTAGTATGCATTCTTTTTTATTGCTTTGGTTGCCTACTCTGGGTGAATTTTTATTTTTTTTAATTTACACGAAATAATTGTACATAATTTTAAAACACAATGTGATGGACAAATCAGGTTACTTAACATGTCAGTTGCCTCAAACATTTATCATTTATTTGCAGTGAGACAATTCAAAATCCTCTCTTGTAGCTAGTTTGAAATAAACAAGATTGTTAACTATAGTCATCTGAGAGTGGCACCAAAAAAGGAAGTCTTCTTGCCTCATTCCAGAGTTGTTATACTAAGTTCTTTTTATGTTAAGGCTATCCTTTTCTAACTTTTATGTTAAATTTTTTCCATTCAAATATTGAGTAGTCATGATTTAGTAAAGACTTTTCTTCCTGCATTTAATTGGCTTGCCATGGTTTTCAAAATCAAATGACTTGATGTATGTGGATGTCTTTCCAGGTCCTTATACATAGTAATCTGGTGGTTAATATAGGTTTAAAACTGTTAAAGTATATACCCTTAACCTTCATTCTTTTCATAAAAATAATTTGGGGCATTTAAGTTGTTTTAAATTCCATCATAAAGTATAGAATCAGCATCAATTTATGTATTATTCAGGTACACACTTCTGTTTGGTTATTGTTAGTCACATTTTTGATAATGTAAAATTATAGTTTTTGTATAATGTCAGGTTATATTTTTTGTAACAAAATTACATTGCTTCTTCAGTGGTTGCATTTCCATAGACATGCATTTGATCATTTAATATGTATGTTGAAGCTTATATATTCAATTACTTAATGCTTATAAATTTTCTTAGTTTTTTTTTTTTTTTTTTTTTTTTTTTTTTTTTTGGTGGAACCAGGGATCAAACTACTTGACAGTGAAGCGCTTATCTACTGAGCCATCTCCCCAGCCCCAGTTTTCTTAATCCTAATGGGCTTTTTTGTTTGTAGGATTTTTTTTTTCTTTAAATAAAACTGTGACTTTATTTTCAGGTTTAGTTTTTCTTTGTTTTCTGTTGCTTATCATTTCCTTTTTCTACATAGTTGTATCTACTACTCTTCTTAATGAAATGGCCACATCACTGACTTTCTAATGGAGACAGCTTAAAACCTAAGTTTCCCTCTAAGGACTGTTTAATTTGCATCCAACGCATTTTGATATTTTGTTGTACTTTTCTAGTACAGACCTTTGCTACAGAAGAGAGGGCCTCTTGGTTAGTGCTAGGAGTTCTAGCTACCCTTTGACTGCTCGCAACCCTTTCTGAATTAAATGGATCCTTCTCTTTGAGGAATTAGAGTTCTCAAAGCCCCTTCACTTGGAGTTCTCAGGTTGACTCTGACCCTTTTCAGGAACAACTTTGTATGAGTTGGGAGTTCTGCTTTTGGGGTCCCTCTACTGCTCCCCACTGTTTCCTCCTATCTGATGGCCTAACATGTGGGTTTTATCTGCCAATGGTTTAGTGTTCTTTGTGGTGTGAGGGCCAATCAGACACCTGTGCACATCTCCTTGTGCTCTCCATGGCGTGTTCTCAGTGACACTTGTTCCTCCAGCCTAAGCACTTCCAAGGAAGTGGCCGTTAATCTGTTTCTTTTCATTGAGACTCATGCCATTAATCAGTTTCACATTATATTTAAACCATTGCTGGATGCTAATTTGTTTAAGGGTTTATAACACATTGCACTAACCACATTTTAGTGGAAATTGCTTATCTTTTTATAAATTTCGTACATCTACTACTGTTTTGTTTTATAATTTGCAAGATATTTTTCATTAATGACAACCTCTTTTTCTACTTACAAATTAAAAGACAGGCTTAAAAAATAATTTCTCTGTCTGAAGTTATAAATGTTATGACAACGCCAAAAGATATTTAATAATTAAAACAGTTATTAGTGTCAGAAGCCCCTGGGCTTGCCAATAACTAAGAAATATTTTCAAGGACTATGACCTCATGAGTATCAGTAAATCAGCTTCAGGAGAATTATTTAGTTAAAGAAAATTGTTAGGAGACATTTATTTAACATGCATTGTAAAATATATAACATTTTAATGGAAAATAATATACGCTATAAACAAATTTGTGTTAAAACATTTGACATGTGCTTTGGAGATTTTTTTTCTCTATTGAGCTTTAAAATAATTATTTGATAATCTTTTTTATGGTGAAAAGTTAAAACACAATGATGTTGGTTTGCTCCTATAGCTTGTTATAGGGTCTGGAGTCAATATTCCACATCTTCATAGTCAAAATCTTGCATTCTTACCTTTGTAATAAAACTTTTCTTTGTGATAAAACTTTAAAATGTTGTGAGCCAGATGAGCCAACTATGATAGAGTTTATGTGTCTGTTCAGACAGACACGGTTTGCTCTGTAATAGGCAATTTAATGAAATACAAATATCAGAGAAATAATAAAAAAATGAATAATTGAAAGATTTGACATGTAATTTCAGCCTGGCAGGTGACAAATACTCTTCTAGCATATAAGGAAAATGTCCAGTTTTCCCAGGAGGATGGGTGGAGATTATAATATTTTAATAAAGTATAGTGATATAGTGAGCTAGTATGTCTCAGACCACTTGTGCTTTCCAGGCAGTCCTACAGTGTCTTCACATGCTGTGGACACACTCTAATGTCATTACTGTCACTCAAGGCAGCCAGACTGTCACATCCTCTCCTCACTTCATCACCTGCCTTTCAGGGTTATGGGACTATACAATGTCATTTTTTCTAGTAGGCTAACTGGGGAGAAACATGCGATTCCTGAGTCCCTCGGATGTGATCAAGTCAATGTCACTTCTGTTAGGCTCTTAGAGCAGTGTTCCTAAGAATCTTGATGCTTAGAGATAGTGTAAGGCAAGTTTAAAAATAGAGTAGATTAGTCGCACATTGATAATCCTTTCTTAAAAAAATAATTATGAAGTCTTTATATGTGACATTCATTCCCATTTACCTTTTGAGCAATTTTTTAAAATAAGCATCATTTTTTTAAATTCTTGTAGTTTTATAGTAGGAGCTATGTGACCAGCTGAACACAGAGATAAGTCTTACTATGTGTATGTATTTTTAATCATTGAGCAACTTGGGTTGCCTGAGAAGTTGTTCCTTTGGCTAAGTCAGATTGAGTTTTGTGTAACAGAAACAGTATGCACCTTGGGCCAAAGTAGAAGAAAAGGACAAAGGTGATTCGAGTGACGTTTCTGTGTGCAGCATCTCTGACCTTGTTCTGATGAGCTACCTGGGGTGGCATGGTCAGCTGTTGGCAAGGGACCTTTTGGGGTGTTAGTCATGTCTGTCTTACATTTTCAGCCCAACCTTTACTAGTGGGATGTTTTCTGTCAAGCAGCTCTATTGTAACACCTGAGCACCTTCTAATGTCTGGCCCCATATCAGCTTCCTCACACATTCCTGGCTGCCGTATTAGTATCTAGTCAATGACGGTGCCATGATCTGTGGTAGAAAACTTTGTCATTGTCTCCTGGGATTCTTGCTTCCCACATCCCCCTCCCTTCCTAATCAACATAGGAAGACAAAGCATATGAAAACAATATAATACACAAGTAGAAAATGTATTAGTTTGGAGACAAATGGGTAAAGTTAGGGTCAGTCAAAGAGCTCAGCAGATTAAAGTGCCTACTTAGGCAGATGCAGGGGCCAGGAGTTCAATCCCCAGGCCTGCCATGCTGGCCCCACCCCTGGGCATGCTGAGACAGCAATTGAGACTGGGCGTGGCGGCCCATGCCTGTAATCCCAGCACTTGGAGGCTGTAAACAGGAGGATCACTATGAGTATGATCTACACAGTGAGACCCTGAACACCCTGTAGACCCTGTCCTAAATACAAAAAAAGGGATGATTTTTCTAAAGTTATAAATAAAATTTAGGTTCTCCAGTTGTAATATACCATAACTTGACTGCATGCCCATTTCTGGTATATGTCAGATACCTACCTGTTAATTGAAAAATGAAATTGGATTGGTATATTTATCAATAAATAGAGAATTCTTGTCAGATGTTGCTGTCTGTATCCAAAACTCTGATATGAAGTCATAAAGGGAACTACTGTTTATACCTGTAGACTTAGAATCCTCTTGATAATAATAATTATGCATGAATGAAATCAGCATTTGGATGGAGAAAGAATATCCCATATTGGAAAGTAATCATAGCTTTTGTGTTCTTTTGTGTGTATGCTTTGACAGCTTTTTGGAGACTACAGCCTATTTCTTCATGAAGCCAAAACTTGGAGAGAAAGAGGTGTCCCCAAATGTTTTCTTCAGTATCTGGCATGAATTCAGCTCTGACTTCAAAGACTTTTGGAAGAAAGAGAACAAACTTATTCTACAAGAGAGGTAGGTATTTTCATTTGCACAATGACATTTAAAAACAGGTATTTTATTAGGTGTGACTCTAGTGGGGTTGCCAATTTTTATAGCCTGAACAAAAAAAAATAGATGGCCTGTACCCTCAGATAGCAAGTAGGAGGTGCTGACATTTGGCAGCATTTGGAGTTTGAATAAGAAGAGTCACTTTATGGCTGTGATGTTACAGAGAATGTCCGGGGATAGGGTAGTTTGCCAAGACCACTGTCTGGTAAAATAGCGTCTGTCATGAAGAAACCACACAAAAGCAAGCCACATAAGGAATATTGATCTGTTCTTCTGGGATGCTAAACCCATCCACCTCTAAAGGTGGATGGCAGTGACTACAAAGGTAAGAAGAATAGTTTTGTGTTCATTTTCACTCAACTCGTGCAATAGAGTTACCATTCAGATCAAAATTTCATCCAGAGATCACCAAGAAACACAGAGAATATGCTCAAAGCCTCTTAATATTCTTGTGGCATAAATCTTTGCAGAAGGAAGGGGAAATTTCTCCTCTTAAGTGTGTGCAGCAATGTCTCTGATTATAAAATTCCAAAAAAATATATTGAGTGATGAGAAAGCTACCTCCTGCCGCAGGGCAGACTCTTCAAATCCTAGAGTCTACTAGGAAAATGAGAGGGGAATGGAACCAGGCTGTAGAGCAAACCGTATTGCTGAGCACATTAGCGGACTTCCTAACGTCGCTCTGGTAGAAATGACTTTCCTTTATACTGTTAGAAAATTTAAACCTTGAAGGACTTGATTCATCACTGCCACAAAATTCCAGTTTTCTGCTCATCGTCTTCGTTTTGATCTGCTTACCCACAAACCTCTGGGTATCTAGCTTTTGATCTTTTCTTAAGTTAGGTGAAATTAATTGCTAACATTTATTGAGTAGTCAGTGGCCAGACATGCGTTCACTGCTATCACGTCTTCGAACGATGGGGATGCTTTCTGAGAAGTGCATTGCTGGGTGATGTCATGACTGTATGCATGTTGTTTTCATAAACCAGATGGCCACTACATGGATGATGGCCTGATCTTACCATTCCACTGTCGTATATACAGTCTGTGGCTGACCGAAATGTTAAGCAGTGGTTATCATTTCTTAGATTCTATGGATTTGTCAGAGAAGAAACTACACCTCCATGCATAGCAGATAGGACAAAAGAATAATTTAGAGAAAAAGACCTCACTCTAAATACCCCTAAATGCCATGAACATCTTCTGCCTCAAAACACACTACTCAGTGCTAACATAAAAGTTGAGATATTAGCCAGCTGTCATACCTACAGGTAGGAAAAAGAATTGCTTAAAAATAAGCAATTGTTACGTTCTTTCCCTCAGACTCAGCCGTATGTTAAATGATTTTTACCAGAAAAGTCATATTCAGTTTAGAAAATTATAAAGAAAAATCCTGTAGTTTTTTAATTTTTAAAGAAGGAACATTTTAACCTTAGCACATCAGGCACAACATCCCCTCTTGGATCTCTGACTTAATTTGTTCCCCTGGAAAGGGATCTGACACCATTTGCACTGACGTTCAAAACAGAGTAGTATTTCATGTTGCCTGGTTGTTTGCCTCATATCTGGTATTAGAGACGTAAAAGAGAAAGGAAGCTGAGGGTTAGGCATCTGTAAGTCAGGACTAAGCATAGTTTCTTGATGTACTCCAGGTAAGCGATGTGTCCCAGCACAGGGCAGATGTGCCAGCGACATGGGCCATTCTTGGCATTACCCTCCTCTGTTCCCCTAAAAACTGTGAGATGCCTCTGGAAGCAAACCCTGAGTCTGACCGATTCCCATGCCCGGCTTCCTGACTGCACGCATAGTCTCTGTCCAACATGTGCTTGATGGAGAGAGTTGTGTTTCCAGGCAACATTATGAACAACAATCCTCTTTTATGGTAGTGTGTGCCTCTGACATCCCCCAAACAAGCTTTTCTTCACTTTCTGTTTCCTAACATCAGCCCAGATCCTTTGGTAACGCTTTATCCTGTGCTTGTCATAGGATATATGCCATGCTTTTTGGACTCACGCTTGGTGACTTTTCATTTTGGCAGTGTTGTGGATTGGCCAAATATGTGAGTGCTCTTCACTGCAAACTTCTAATTTTACTAAATCATTTGCTTTTAATAAAATACTGAAGAGGAACATGTGTCACGTGAGACTGCTCCTTTGTCCTTTGCCCTCCAGCAGCTATTATGCCTCTTGGCAAATGAGAGTCAGACAGCTTTGAAAAGCAAGATCTTTGCTGTGAAGTGCTTGTGGGGCAATGCTATACTTCTCCTTAGTGAGGGAGCAGCCATGTAGGCTCTGGAGAGCAGCGTAAAAGAAAATAAAGGGGGTCCCTCCTTCAAAAATTAACAATTTCAGAACAGCAAAGCATAAATCAGTCGCAGAGCTCTTCTGAGAACTACAGCCTAGTGGCTGCCCACACGTACAACCTTGTGGGCATGGTCTTGATTCCATGTTTTCTGTAATACCTGGGAGGATACTTGGGGGCTATTTGAGGGCCCCAGAACATCCACAGGAAAGAGAATGTGATCAGTTCAGAGTGTAAAGCCTCCCACCCGGTCACCATCATGTGAGGCGAACCCTAACGAGAATTACTTCAAATAGGATGCTGTCCCCAGCTTGTGTATTTCCATATGCATCGTCAGTATATTTTATAGACCAGCTAATCCTTTACTGCCAGAACAATATGTATGTAGTGTTTGTGTTTTACATTATAAATTTTTGTTGTTTGCATGTTGGTCTTTATTTCCCAATGAGGAGTTGGGTGTGTTCACTTCTGATATATCTATTACTTGTCATTATCCACACTACCTTCCCCCTCTCAGTGTTGCCATAAAAATTTGCTGATTTGACTGTACTACTAGTGTAAGTGAAATCAATTACCATATGTATTAAAATGTTTTTGAAACAACAGAATAGGTAATTTGGGGAATTGTTTGTACTTCTCCTTCCTATTTATCTTCTATTTTCCTCATTATTTTCTCTTCTAAGAGTAACCATATGGGGCTGGGGAGATAGCTCAGTAGAATAAGCACCTGCCTGGCAAACACAGGGTTCTTAGTTCAGTCCCCAGTACTGAAAAAAAAAAAAAAAACCATATGAGTTTAATCTTGTGAGTCTGCCATACTTCGCTTACCATTATGTTCTCAAGTTTCATGCATTTACCTACAAATGCCTCAAGATTATCTTTCTTTATGACAGAGTAGTGCTCCATTGTGTATAAATACATTTTCCTTATCCAGCCATCTGTTGATGGAGATATATATATATATATATATATATATATATATATATATATGATTAGTAGAACCTGGAGAAAGGTTCCTTTCAACAGGATAGAAATTATGTGGCAGTCTGTAAGAACGGAATGAATTACCTTTCTTAGCAGCGCTGCCATAGCTGGCTCCTTCACAGTGAAATCCCCGCCTCTGCTGCAATGTCGGTACTGACCCCACAGCCAGTATAAACCATGCCGCTGTAAAAATGGGCAGATGTATATTTCTGTTTTATAAAAATGGGCAGATATGTATTCCTGCGATATGCTGATTTTGACTCTTTTGAGAAGATACCTTGAAGGGGAATAGTTGGATCAAGGAGAATTTCTGTGTTTTAGTTTTTTGAGGAATCACCACACTGATTTCCATAGTGGTTATACTAGTTTACCTTTCCACTAGCAATGTAGTGGAGTTCCTGTATCCCAACATGCTCCCCAGCATTTGTTTTTATGATTCTTTCTGGCATAAGTTGTTATTTCCCTGTAGATTTTTTCCTAATGTATTTAGTACAGGGTCTCACTACATAGAGTAGACTCCTAGTGATCCTCCTGTTTTCAGCCTCCCAAGTGCTGGGATTACAGGCATGGGCCACCAGGCCCAGTCTCAATCACCTCTCGGTGCATCCTGGGGGCGGGGCTAGCAAGGCACTCTGGAGATCACACCCCAGTCCCTGCATCTGCCTAAGCAGGTGCCTTAATCCCCTGAGCTATCTGGCTAGTCCTAATCTCTCTATAGTTTTAATTTACATTTCTCTAATGGGCAGCAGTATTGAATACTTCTTCATGTATTTAACTAGCCAGTTTTACTTCCCCTTCTGAGAAGTCTCTATTCATTTTGGTTGTCCATTTTTTGATTGGGTCTTTTATTTTGAGCAGTGTAATATTTTTGAGTTCTTTATATATTCTAGGTATCATTTTTCTGCCCAAGTTCTAGCTGACAAAACATTTTACATGCTGTGCATAGTTGTTTCACTCTGTTAGCTATTTTTTATGCTATGCAGGGGCATCTTAATTTAATATGATCCCATTTGTTGTTTCTTGGTATTATTTCTTGTGCCATCTGTTCAAAAAGTCCTTGCGTATACCTGTGTCTTCAAGAGCTGTACCAGTTTATCTTCCAGCAGACTAAATGTTTCTGTTTTAACACCTGGATCTTTGACTCATTTTTGACTTTATTTTAATACATAGTTAAGATATGTGGATATCCACATGCAGAAGATTGAGTCTGTGTCTTAATGTCTTCTCTATACCTCCTCCTCTTTTACACTCCTTCATTCCCTTTCCCCTTTCCCCTCCATTTCTGTCTCTGTCTCTCCCCGCCCCCACCTTGCTCCTCTCTTCTGTCTTCTCTACCCTTCTCTGTGGGTTTGCTTATTTTTCAAGCCAGGCTATTCTTTGAACCACGGACTCATAGCCAACAGGCACAACCATGGCTTATATTCTCAAAACTCATAATCAACTAACCTAGAAAAATCCCAGGGGCCAACTCCCGATGAGCTGTAATCATTTTTGAATCTGCCACAGTGGCCAGTGGGAGGCTGGAGTACCACAGATAGCTCAGCAGTGGATAAACCCAGCCTTGCAGCCAGGGGCTACCACAATTGATAGTTGCCTTGAGAGCACTATCTTTACAGTGAGGAAAGAGTGGTTTTCTTAGACAAATAAGTAATAATCTACTTCTCTAATTAGTCAAGCCT